AGGCAAGAAACGCCATGCTGCCTACGTCACAACTGGTTGTTTGGCGGAGGGGGGAAGGGGGGGATTTGTTACACACAGGCCTTATGAGGATAGGCCATCCTGTAGTAGTAGTGTGTATCATCCTTGATGTTTAGGTTCCTTGTACAAACTAATAATTCAATAATTCGTTCAACTTGCAACCGAATGTTATTTAAGCGTAACGTGATGTGATCAATAATTTTCCTGAAACACATAAACTTTTTTTGGAAGACGATTGGGTTTAATTAACCGAAGGGAATTTCCCTATTATCCTAGATACGACAATATATTACATATATTGTTTCAAAGAATCAATGAAGAGTATAAATAAATTCAAGTTAGAAATAGTTGATATGAACAAGGAAGTAGAAGTACATTCTGCTAAATAAATGAAAATTAAAAAGCGACTTCAGTTTGTGCATTAGGGTTTATCGTCCAGAAGAACCAAGCCATAAACATCCTGCTGATATTAAGACAAGAGCGTGAATACATTGGCATTATTTGAAAATTATCCAATCATTTGATTCGATAATTTTCAAAATGTCATTCCTACTTCAGCCAGCGACGAATTTGGAATAGTTTTATAGGAGGATTTTCCAGAGATTTCTCACTAAACAGACACTTTCTACTCATGGGTAGTTTTAACAGCAAAGTGGACAAAAAGGAAGATGGGATTGAAACGGTTGTGAGTGATGGACAAGAAAGAAACGATAGAGTATTACCTCACAATTTCTACAGCGTAAATACTTATAACAGAAGCATGACACAACGAATAGAAAAAATACGAAATACCGATCCATACGTCGAGCTTGATAAAATTTCAAGCGATAAATTGAAAAAGAAATAAGAGCCTACACCCAACGAACAAAGAAGATAATCGGGACTATAAGAGAATAGTAGTACAGTAGGTACTGAACCACAAAATTATGAGAAAATAGTCTAAAACTATTATTATTACTATTATTATTATTATTATGGGTATCTGCAGTAGACGGAATAAATCCGATGAAACTGCTGAATCTATTTGAGTTGTTGTTTAAAGATTGGAGATTTGGGGGAAGTCATGCATTGCTCTTGCTAAAAGAACCTCTGCGGTCTTAATAGTCCTCCTGAAACTTAGTTGCCTCATATATGGTATAATGCACAAAGAACGTTGTGCTTTGGTTCTTCATTTCTAGGTCTAAACGGTTTTTGAACTGGTTTTTTGTTGTTGACGTGACAGTGTTGTTACCAAGACTATTCCAGAGATAAACCACCCTGTTTGTTAGAAAGTTTCTTCTCATTAGCTTGTTAAATTTCTCCTTGGAAAACTTTAGATTGTGTCCTCTGAGATTGGTGTTTTGGTTGAGGTGGTAGATCTTTCTTAAGTCGCATGCATAGTGCCCATTCATTATTTTAAAAGTTTCAATGAGATCTCCCTTCATTCTTCTATCTTTTAGGGTAGTTAGGTCTAGCTGAGTTAATCGTTCCTCATAGGGCAGTTCATGAAGGTCTGGAGGCAGCTTAGTTATTCTTCGTTGTACTCTCTCAATTTGCTCTATGTCTTTAGCATAGTAAGGATTCCAAATAGTTTGTGCATATTCCACTCTTCGACTATTGGCCTGACAAATGATTTATGTAGCTTTAGTATCATATCTTTGGAGAGGTCTTTAAATGATTTTTATATGAGGTAAATCATTGAATAGGCTTGTTTGGTCATTTGCGTGATGTGAGTTTTCCATTTCAAGTCATGGGTGACAGTGATTCAGTAGATCTCTCTGTTGTATGACAGGTGTTATTTGAAACTCTTCAAAAAAGTAATTCAATTTAGGGTTGTTCTGGCCAATATGTAGGACTGTGCATTTGGAATCATTCAAGGGCATTTTCCATAGCTGTGTCCATTCTTTGATTTTGTTTAGGTCTCTCTGAATAGCAGCATGTTGCGAAAGTGGATTTCCATAAATGTTTCCATCGTCGGCAAAAGATGCATTTCTTGTTTCCAGCCCTAGATATAGATCACTTAAATAGGCAATAAAGAGTAGAGGACCGAGAACTGATCCCTGTGGTACCTACTCCACTATGCACTCTGTGCTCTTTTGAAAGTGTTGGACCCACACGCACCTGAAAAGTTCTTCCTGTGAGAAATCCTTCGATCAACTGGAGGAAATTGCCTCTAACTCCGACCTGTTCGACTTTATGAATTAGGAACTGTATTGGTATTTTGTCAAATGCTTTTTGGAATTCAAGATAAATCACATCGATTGGTTCCTGGTTGTCATCTGACAGTGTCCAGTGGTTGAGTTTTGTTAGGAGATTGGTAATCGTCGATTTCCCGGGAAGAAAGCCGTGCTGCTGATCTGGTACCCATGCAGCAAGGTTTGGTCGATAAAACGTTGAAAGTACGATACTTCCCAACGTTGCATTACGTTGTAACAACAGTTGAATGTACGTTGACAGGACGGCACAATGTCATAATTGAGACAACGTTGAATGTGATCGTTGAATTAAAGTCGTTTTTTACGTTGGCCTCAATCTTATAACAACGTTGATCAGATGTATTCGAGGCGTCAGATTTCACGTTGAACTCAACCCTTATCACAACGTTGATCAGTTGTAATTAAGACGTCAGATTTCACGTTGAGCCTGAGGTTGAGCTCAACCTTTATTTTTTTCTACAACTTGAAACAGAAAAAATAGTACAAAGAACATGCTTCATAAGACATTTTATATCAAATTGCGTCTTATGAAACTTGTTCTATAGCTGAGTCAGTCAGAACAGTTTTAAAATAAAATAAACTCATCAAAATGTTTGAGGTTAATGGTACTTTATTCCACAACTTTTTTAAATAAACACAAAATCTTTGACATAAAATTTAATATATCGAAACAGTAAAGGGGCACACATTTGATCAAAATAAAACATGATTTGGAGGATTGGTAAAAGTCAAAAGTCAACTATCTTGCTCTTAGATAGGAATTGAGAAGTATACATACGCCTACCACCATTTTCCACCAATCGAAGTTAAATCCAGGCTGGACACATTAATAGGCACACAATAACAAAAATAATAACACCTTTTACACCTTCAATAATTTTAAATTTACACAAAATTAACAAAAACGTGCGTGCATAGGAAGGATGACGCGATGAACGTGATGACGCCAGCGGCCAGACGGCAACGCAATGATGGGCTGGGCGCAGAGGGCGCTGGCGGCAAATGGCGGAACGCGATGCACCTTAGCGGGAAGTTTGAATTAATTTGCATGGAGATACCACTTTATCTATTTATATAATATTGTTTCATGTCGAATGTTGCAACTTTAAACATTAAACCTGCATCCATTAAGATATACTTATAATAATAAAAATCTGGTTTTTCATTGATATCTTAAATTTTACTAATAACGTATATTTATTTCAAAAAACATTCTACACCTCCATTCAACGTTTATTCAAAGTCTAGTGATGGGCTAAATCAAACAGAAAAAAACCAGTGTTATAACTATTCAAAGTTGCTATACCTAGTCTAGATTGATAAATACTTTGGTACCAATGGGTTCGAATTATTTTTTCAAAATTGCAATATCTCGTGCAACCTATATTCAACGTTGAATAGACTTTGCTTAGAATACGTTGACGAATACGTTGTTTTCATAATGGCCATTCAACGCTGATTTTTGGTATATCAACGCCTACGACATCAATCAATCTTTAATCAACGTTGATTCAACTACCCCTTGCTGCTTGGGTACGACTCGTGTGTCCATAAAAAATTGGGTGAGCTCTTTTGCGATTATTTTCTCCATACATTTGCACAGTGTACTCATTAAACTAATAGGTCGATAGTTTGCTGCATGCTGTTTATTTCCTTTAAATAGGCGTCACCACTGCTTTTTTCCATGCTGCAGGGAATTCCCCTGTTCTTGCTATGTTATTAAGAATGTCAGCTAGTGGCCCTTTTAGCATCTGGATACAGTTCTTGAGGAAGAAGGGGGGGATTTTGTCGAGCCCTGGACTTGATGATAGTTTAAGTGATTTCACTGCAGTTCCAACTTTTTCCGGAGTGAACACGATATTTTTTAACTCGGTTGTAGCATATGCATATGGTAGTGTAGGCAGAACCGTATTCGAGTTGAGCACTGTGAAAACTTTCTCAAACTCTTCTGCAAAACACTCTGCAATATCTTGATTTGATGTTTGTGGCTCTTGTGTTATTTTATCAATTAGGCTAAATTTGTGATGTTTTGTGTTGAGGGTGCGATTTATGTAGGCGTAGAATTGTTTACTATTTATTCAATAGGTTATGTTCATAGGTTTTTCTAGCTGATGCGTTGCATGCCTTGGTCTTGTTGCTTTGTTGCTGGTATTTTTGGTATAGCTTGCTTCTGATTTGTTACTTCTATATATATGCCAATAGTCTCGTTTTCTTTGGATCTCTTTGAAGACTTCCCTGGTCAGCCATGGTTTTTGTGTATCTATTTTTTGAGGTCTGATTGGAATGTAGGTGGTTATTGCTATAGTCAATACCTCATAAAACTTCTCAGTAGTCATTGGATTTGTTACTTGCTGTAAATGTAGGCTCTGAGAATATTTTCGAGATATCAAGGTAGAGATACGAAATGTCTTCGTAAAATAATATAAATACAGAAAACGCCCAGGATAGAATAATGAACGATATGTTGAAAACAGGAACAGAACAGATATTGGATATCTCGATCGATAAAAAATTTATTCAACAAATCTCATTGACATGGAAAAAATCCCCAGTACTGAAAAAAACCCACAAGTTTTTCTGTTTTTTAAAAAAGTTGGCGTTAATAATTTTGAAAACTATCGACCAATTTATTACTGCGTAAATTATTCACCAAAATCTTGAAAATAAATTAATCCTTTTCTGATAAGCCCAAAGTATCATCTATCAGATTTTTTTTTTCTAAAACAGCCTGCATAGAGTATAGGTAGTTTTTCTCTAACATTTTATCAACAATTTCTTCTTTTCCAGTCCATGGCTCATCGATAAGCTTAGTATCCACGGCATCCAGTTTATATTCTTCGGCCGAAGAGAAGCAAGCTCACGAAATCAGAAAGCTCAGACGAGAACTCGGCGACGCCCAAGAAAAAGTTCATACGCTGACGTCGCAACTTAGTACCAATGTAAGTACCATTTTAGTTTTATTTAAAAAAATAAATAACTAACGTCAAGACCATTCAAGACGAAAGTTGCCTAAGTAGATTGGCGAATGCGCCAGGGATAATAAGTATCATAATGGTATCATATTAAAAGTGCACAATATCAGTTCACGAGATTTCATATACGCAGAAACATATACCTATGCCTAACTCTAGCAATATTCTTGCTTAAACATTGGAGAGCATTAATATGTACTCATCGTCTCATCCAATGACTTTGAGCGCGAAACAATTATTTTAAGCGTTAGGGCATCAAAGCCTGAGCTTTTCTCCATATCCAGTTGAGCTCTGGATTACTCTCAAATTTTCAGTAAATGCCTGCATCTATTTCTAAACTATGGACTTTGGGCAAAGCTTCCCAAATCCCAATACTTGATCAAATATTCCTTTGATGATGATGATTTCAATGGCAAAGCATATTGTTATGTTCTTGTTCCACTGGATTATCATGTATCCTAAAAAACGTCATTTTAGCCATGGAGCCAGTCCAAATCGTATATCACCAAGAAGAAGATCACTGTTAAAGGAACATCGGATACATTCAATTAAATATTATAATCAATGAATAAATTAATCGAATAAGTAATTATTAGCTTCTTGAATTATTTATTCAGTTATAATTTCTGCCAGCGTATTTTGGAAAAGTTGGTGGTTGTTGGCTTATCCAGGTTCCATTATGTGTAGAGCTTGTAGAGGTATTCTAATTTTGATTGTCAACCAACATCCCTATAGGTATACCTATACTAGTAAATCAGTTCAAAATCGTGTAGGTAACCAAAATACCATTTACTTGAAGAAAACCAAATAATGCTTAAACATTCCGGTTTATTAATATGCGGGGTCGAACAAATTCTGAAGTCTACCGAGGTGAACTTTTATTATTATTTCTCATTCATTGCAAATCATTTTTTCAAAGGCTAATCCTAAAAAAAAAACATTGTATTCTGTATTCTCTTACGTATATAAATTTGTGTACAACGCATTTTTGTAGTCTCATCCTAGATGAAATATTAGCCACTTGTTATAAGTAGCGATCTCAAATTGCAACAAGAAGGTGTCAGTTAATACAACAACCAACCAGATGTAGGTCATATTGTCAATTGAGAATTGAGTCATCGTACCAAAATAGTCAAATCATCGTAAATTGTTATTGATCACTTATTGAACTAGATTGGCTTGGTAATAAATTAATAAATTGTTATAGAGATGTATTTTGCTTGATTCAAATTGAAGTCCTTGGGTGGCTCGTCAGAAATTTTATTGGTAGTAAAACTCTGATTTCTTGGCACATTTCGGAAAATAAATAACTGATGCATAAAGTATGTTTTAACTTTTTTTGTTAATAAAATATCATTTGATTTGATTTCAAAGTTACATTAGGAACACCAATGATTTTTGTAAATTATATTACTCGGTCCTGATTGATGACTAAAATTTCAATTACCATAGGTCCATATTCCAAAGATATTAAATGGGTTTAATTAACTCTAATCGCTGACGCCGTTTATCGATAATTTTCATTACTGCTGAGGCGCCAATAAAAATAAATAATTAGTTAAAAATAATAAAGTTCTATAGTTATTTTATAAATAGATGGACAAAAAATGTATGAATAATTAGTATACATATTAAGCTTTAAAGTGACAGTTTAATTGCCATTATTATTTACGACTACTTATATGTTTTTCCGTGGTAATTATTGTATACTAATAGGAAAATTGAAATGCTATTTTGAAATAGTATAATAAAATAAAGTGAGTTCTAGACTATTGTATAGTCTAAGCCACTGCAGCAAACAAAATTGCATACTGACTAGAACAAGAACACTTTATTGTAAGCAAGGAACTACACTTGACTTACGCCCTAAAGGGACCTTATCGTGCCTAACATCACTCACGACATTGTATGAAGATGAGGCTGCTATTATAATTAAAGTAATCACCATCAACAGTGTTTCTTGTTTTTCTTGTAGAGAAATTATATTTGGATGTAGTTTTTATGTGCCCAGAAATGTATCCAGAAATCATCACATTTTATAGAGAAATTCTACGTGTTTGATGACTATAATAATTGAGAAATACTAAAAGAGGTCTCCATCAAGAATAAGATATTGATACAGCATGAAAAATGCGAAATGGACAAGAAAAAAATTGCTTCGGATGGGGATGAATTCCCACGTGGAGACACTAATCAATAGCCAGCAAAAAAATACAGAATGTCGATTCAGAAGATACACCAGATATTGGAAAATTTGATATCGAGAAGCCAATTATAAGGATCTGATAAACAACAAATCACCTAGGAGAAGATGGAGGGACAGCTTAAATATTGTCAAGTTTGATTCCGCCAAGGAATTAGTACCTACTTCTCTTTGCATGAAAATTCTCATAGAAAAAGCAAACGAATAGCATCTTTCCCTCCATCTCGTTTTTCATAGCATTGAATTATGGGCCATAGAAAAAGCAGTAAACAACTCTGGAATCGACTCACAATACAGACATCTACAAAAATTCTAAATTGTACAGATGGATAGAACACCAACCATCAGAATAGTAATATGATGGTTGTCAGACTTGGACATTCACAGAGAAAAATACCAACAAATTAAGAGATAACGGGCTATGAAACGCCATAATTCTGATATATAATAAAAAGATTGTGACAAATATACCAATACTTGGATAAGAGTGGGAACCATGTAACATCAAAGATCACCCATCAAAAAAAGAGTTTCGCAGGACACCTTGTATAAGATTGAAAGACTAAGAGATCAAATTCAGAACCAATTACAATGGAATGTGCACAGATCAAATGGGAGATCTCAGATGAGGATGAGTTGCACCTACATATGTTCTCATTACCTGCAGGATCACTCCTCTGAATCCAAGTTGGTCAAGATAAAAGTATACTGGCAAGAATTGGGAGATACCAATATAATATGGTTGATAATATGCTGAAGAAGAAGAAGAAAAATTCCAAAGCAACGAAATTTATCACAGTCTATTCTCGTATTCCCAGACATACCTACTTTGCTGCTCATTGCACAAACGTGATAATCTGATCATTTTAAGGAAAAACGCTGAACTATGTATGTGATATTCCGTAATTATTGTTCTAGCTGCTTCGACTTCCAAGAGAAATATGAGCTTTTAAAAACTATCCCATAGTCAACATTTTTTTCCTGTTTTTACACATTCACACAACCCAATAAATCAGACACCCTTGAAACTATTAGTAATTTTACCATGCCCTGGGGTCTCTGGTTACATTTCCAACATCTGGTTTTATTCAACACGCAACTTTCAACCTTGAAAAGGGCATAATGGGCACAAAACTGGGAACACTTGTTTTAAGTTTTGTTATTTTTATGCCGGGGGGTTCCAATTTCAAAACATTTGGGTTTTAGGTTGAGTATAATAAGTAATTAACCAGATGCACATGTCAAAAAGAAAATAAAGTAATTATTTAGAAAAAGAATATTGGGAAGTTAATTTTTGTCAACTTTCTCCAAATTTTTAACAACTAAAGGTTTTGTATCTGACTTAAATAGATATTCTTCAAAATTTCTGTTTACTCTACAAAAAGACCCCCTTTCAAGTTCTGATCAATTTAAACACTTTTCCTAAACAGCTTATTATTTTTTCTACCTTCAAACATTTTTTCCATATGCTTGCATTTGTCGTCAGCACAAGTAACTCTTATAAACAATAACATTATTTGATTGATGGACTACACATTTACCATATTTTTATCTGCAAATGTACATAATTTGTTTATAAAATCATTGACATTTATATCACGCCGACAAAGAGACACAACGTCACAATTTTATCAACTTTTATGGAAATTGAGTGATAAAAACTCGGACACGCAGACTAGAATGCTGGTTATTTAATGCAAAATTATGCTTTTGTTTATCACGAATTATTGGGATTTTTGCCTATATAGTTGAAGATGATCTCAACGCGGAAAAATGGGTGTGTTAATTTGACTTTATAGTTAAAAGTCCGGATAAACTTGTTGCAGTATAAATTATCCATCGGTATTTTATTAACGTAAACAAACATAAAATTTAAATATGACGACATTTTTTGTATATTATTAATATTTATTTTAATCGTCTATGTCCAAGCAGAAGACATAGATAGTAATGACCATGTATATATTAATGGTGCATGTAATGATATAAAAAGCGGAGGTACAGAAATATTGAAAATGAAAGCAGATGTGTCGAGAAGTTACTTATCTATGGACGATTATAAGGGGGGTAAGGATGTGGCAAATCTTCAAGCTCTAATTGAAGCCAAAGTGGGAAGATGTAGCAAAGATTGTTGTTCTTATCCTCTTTTCAGCTTCCACTTCAACATCCTCTACCTTTCTGGTATCTCAACTGTTCGTATCTGCATTTTCATTTTTATCTAATTCTTTTTACCAATTTCCAGAGGATTTTCTGTAGTTTCACTCTTTATGTCACACAAACCCGAGAAGTCAACCACTATGCTAACAAATGTACAATGATTTCCATATTTGGCAATCACTGATCAATGAATCTCATGTATTCTCATCGCAAGAATTGCAATTGATTGCCAATGATTTTCAGATTAATTTCAAATTGTCTAGCATCTGGGTTAGAATGAGATGATATCCCCAGCGATTACCTCATGATTCTCAGCGATTGCCAGTGGATTCCTATGTGATTCCCATGGAGTCCTAGGAGATTCCTAGCGATTCCTTGGTTGGGGACTCCCAAGTGATTTCCATGTATTCCTGATTGATTATTATGAGATTCTCAAAAAAATGTACAATGATTTCCACTAGTAGTTTACCCCTCGCACAAACCGTTATCCAGCTAGAAAAATCTATCAGTGAATGAGGCTATAATAACAACAGTCCATCTTGAGACCCAATCATTAAAATCACCAAAATCAGTCAATAAACCAATGTCTCGACAACTCGTAAAAAAC